GATATGCCGGTTTATTAGGTTTGGGTTGAGATGTTTGGGGGGGGGGGGGATAGTTAAGGGACTTTGTTTGTTGGGGTGAGGATGTTATGAATGAGGAATGAGGAATGAGAGTTGGATTTTGTGATTTGGAATTGTTGCATACTACGCTATTACTAGGTGTATATATATTAAATTAAACATGTATATATTCTTCACCCCAAATCATTATTCTATATCAATTAAACATATATATATACATTCTTCATTCACACCACACCATTAACTACATTTATCTCCAATGATCTCTTTCTTGTCAATGAGCCATAGACTTTTATTTCATTTATTTCATCTATTTCATCTATTTCATCCATACCATATTACCATTTCCCCGAAGAGAGATATATATATATATATACCTACTAGGTACCTATCCAGGGTTTCGATCGAATTCTTTCTTAGATCGTGTTACAAATGGAAAGTGCTGCAGGTGTCTATCATTAATATCTTCCTACCTAGCCTGGCCTTGCCTTGCACCATCCCCATGCAGCATATACCAAACGGAACGTAAAAATTTCAATGTTTTTTTGATTTTTATATTTTTTACATGTTTTCTGCTTTGCGAGGTGCTCAATGTCGTTCATTCTTGTGAGAAATATAAATAAATACCTATTTATACACCATTCGGGACCGCGCGATGATGATATATATACTATAGCTAAAAAAAAAGTTGAAAAAAAAGTTGGTGGTAATGAACAAATAAACAACATTATTGGAGAGACTTCCATCTCCAGAACCTCTCATCTCTCCTCTCTCATCTCCATTATACATATATACAACCACCTACCCCAGAAAAAAAAGAATACAAACGCCCTCAGGCCCTCAGGCCCATCCATCCATCCAATAAAAAGAAAATCCCAATGCGGATGCCGTGAATTGAACACGGGGCCCATCGAAGTTATTGAAGAAGTGTCTCCACATGGCAACGATGGATTTTACCACTAAACCACAACCGCTTTTTATGTTTGATGGGGACTTTGGGTATTTGAAGATTTAGAAGGAAGGGGAAAGAGAGTTTGGATATTTGAAGGGGAAAAAAAAAAGAGTTTGGAGATTTTTTTTTTTGAGGGGGGGCGAAAAGTGGAGTGGGGAGTGGAGAGGGGGGCAATGCTTGGGAAGGTGGTAAGGTAGACGGGATGGTAGGTGGTAAAGTAGATTGATTATATGGATGTAGGTACTAGGTAGGTAGCTCAACCTACCAACCACCTTTTCTCCAAAGTGATCTGGATAAGTTAGGTATACGATCCATTCATATTCCTGATTACTATATTAGAATTTCCATGATCGATGCATCGATCCATCAACGAAAATCATATACTTTTTCTCTAGGTAGGGGATATAAAAACGAGGTTGCTACTGGAGGTGTACCTAATAGATAGGTACCTAGGTAGTTAATAGGAGGAAATATCTACCTAGCGAGTGAGTAATCGCATCGAATTTTCACTCGGGAGTCTAACGCCATATACCTAGGTACCTACCTACCTACCTACCTAGTTTTCCTTCCATTCGTGAGTAATATGTATGTGAAAAGTAGCTCGAAAGAATAAATAGACTTCATAACGTACGATTTGCGGGCTTCCTAGAGTTTGTTCAACTTATAAGTTATAGATATGATGAAGGGGCGCCTATAAGCTACCTATTTACGTTCTTTCTTGGGCAAAGCGCAACGAGCTGGAGTTCTTCGGGAGACATTGGGCATTGGGCCCGGAATGGGTGAGAAAACGAATATGAAATCTTGATTTCTTTCATCGTTCATCACTAGGCATTTCGTGAATACCAGGTACAATTACAACTACAACTACAACTCTATACAAAAGTCAGGATGTAGGTTGTCGGTATACGTATTCCTTAGGTTCCCGATCCAAACGCCAGATAAAAAGCCAAGCCAAGCAAAGCAAACCTACAATACCAACAATACCGCCACCAATCTCGATGAAGTTCCAGCAACCGGAGATGGCAAGCAGTTTCCGCATCCCGCGTGTGAAGCTGGACTATGAGAGACATCAGAAAGAAACGGCAATATGATACCCATGCATGCTCAGACCAAGCTATTGCTCTCTCCCCCTCTTCAGATACACCAGCGGTTGAGTTTGGCTACGTTGCCAGCAATGACCTAGCTCCACGAGACCCAGAGAATCGTTGGCACGGCATCAATGCCCATTATACCGGCCCATGGGTGTGCCACGGGCGCGAAACGTACGTGGCTATGTGACTATTCGACTTTCCCACCAGTTCTCGGACCCTAGATATGAATCTCGTTTCCGCTTGGTTCCCGGGAATGACGGGCACTAGCTGGTATCGATCGATGAATCGATGCTCGGGAGGCATGTTTTGGCCCGGTTTTACCTTACCCGGTGTGTGGAGCTGGAGTCTGGATCGCTGTCCTGTCAATTATTTGAATGCATCCCTCAGCACCTATAATGGTACCTACATACCTACCTACTATGATGCCTCTTTTTCTCTCCGAAATGACTATAGCCAGAGACCATTTCATTTCTGGATATTACTTGCATACATCGATATAGATGGCATTATTGTTATAGGATCAGCATCGGCATTGAGACTGGATGGTAAGGTATCTATCTATCTTACCATCATGATCTCGACTCGAATATCGATGCACAGGATATAATCATCATAAATATGTATGCATGGGATACCATGGCATGGATCCAATATCGCATCTGAGGATGAGGTGGTGGTGAGTCTGTTGGTTTTTATTATACATATTTTCTCTACCACCGATGGATTTTGCCTGGTTCATTTCATGTCGTGACTGTTGAGAGATCCAAGTTATACAAACTTCGAAACTCGAATGGGAGGGAGTCGTGGGAATGGCCCCGGTTTCAGTATGATCTATTAGCCATGTTCCAAAAGCTGGCGATATAATGTAATGGGATGCAATGCAAGTGATGGATCAGCAACAGTTTTATTGAACCTTGCAAGCAATATCACTGGAGCATGCCTACCTATTCAACCTTCGTGGAACGACTGAAGGTAGGTAATGGGAATGGAAATGGGAATGGGAATGAGAATACACTGTATTCCAAGATTGTATTCATCACAGGTACTGCTTCCACAGCATCAATCTCGAATATCTCGATGGCAACAATGAATTCAGCATTGCATCGAGTAACAATCCATCCATCCATCCATCCATCCATTCATTCATTCATCCATCCATCCATCTATCTATTACATGGATCATCAACCACCCACCCCATCGATAACCAATACCGCAATGGACTCCCCAATTTTACCTCCATAGGATGTTTTGGCGACCTTTCCTGTCCCCGCAGAGAGGATCTTATTCTTACCACCTTACTATATAGGTAGGTAGTTATATTGAGGATAATATACTGCGGTGAACATGGTTAACTTATAAGTTTGTGGTGTGTGTTTGAGAGTATGTATATCCCATAAGTATCTACCCGCTCGATTACATCTCTTTATTTACAATCTATATACCTATAGTATTTATATCCATTGAAGATTCTCGAAATATTATTATTATACATACATCACATCAATTACATACCATACCATACCATTTGCAACCCCTCGGACACGTGGGAACAGGGGAATCTACTCTGGAAAAATTATTGTATGGCCCTCCAGACCTGGTAGGTACCTAGATAGGTATATATATACTATTATTATATAAGTACCACGTATATGTACCTTAGCGGAGGTACCAGGTATTAAGAAACCGTTAATATACTATATCTATTATAAAAAGCTGTATTTGAAAACTATAAATCGTGATTCTGAAAATAAATAATATATATAAAAATAAATAATATATATAAAAATCAATAATTTATAAATATTTTATAATATTTATTTTAAATATTATATTTAATAAAAAATTATATTTTAAAAAAAAAGCCGTATTTAAACCGAACTACCGTTTTTGAATCAAAACACCATTTTTAAATCAAAACATCGTTTTTAAAAATAAATCGTTTTTGAAACTATTTTAACTATATAATTTTATTTATTTCTAATTAATCAAAATAAAACATATTCTTTATAGTGTAATGGTAATACGTTTGATTCGAATTTTCAAAATTGAAAAAAAAAATTAATTGAAACTTGAAATTTGAAACTTGAAATGAAATATAAAATATTTTAATTGATATTTCTTTTTATTTTTTTTAAATTCAAAATATTTAATAAAAACAGTTTATATTTTCAAAAACGTTTTTTTTTTCAAAAATGGTATTTTTTTCAAAAACGGTATTTTTTTCAAAAACGGTTTTTTTTTCAAAAACGCTTTATTTTCAAAAACGCTTTATTTTCAAAAACGCTTTATTTTCAAATATAATGCGAATACTTTACCAACTGAGATATGGTTTCTAAACCTGATCATAATAAAATCACTGTTTCTAAACCCCTAGTACCTCCGCTAAGGTATATATACAGTATCATCTATTACCTATTCGTAGTTTGATTGATTAATAAGACTGACTTATTAATATTATTAATCCAATATTTCAATTATCCATAGACTAATTACTTAGTATACATACATATATATATACATATCTTCTACCTTAAATATTTATCTATCTAGATAGATTCCCACCTTACATATCGGATTCTGACCGACAATGTCCATTACTCCTAATTAAGTATTATGAGTACCTATCTACCTATCTACCTATCTACCCACCTACCTACCTACCTACCTACCTACCTACCTCGTAGAGAACCCAGGTATTTGCTATAATGATGATTGGATACATGTCAAATTCTTCAATTCTATTTTCCTATTTTCCTATTTTCCTATTTTCCTATGATGATCCCAAGGGGGAAAAAAGATGGAAATCACGGGGGTCTAGGACCATCCATCTCTGATTGATTGCATGTCCAGGTAGGTGTCGACGAAGAATCAAATCATTCTTGGGATCGGTTATCATGTCATATCATCAGGATTCATATCATCAGGATTCACACCGATTGGTATCGCCACCGTCTATCAAAATTTCCTCGAGAATCTCCATGGTATGTATTCTTTCTTCTTCTTTTTGTATTCTCTATTCGGTTTTTATTTTTGGGGTTTTCATTGATCGTATAACCTCGGTCACAATACGTCTGTGGTTAATTATTATCCATACGTACATTGGTTCGAATTTGACTTAGGTTTCCAATCGATCGATTCGATGTTTGAAGGATTGAAGGATTGAAGGATTGGTTGATCTATCATCGCATTTCAATCTCAATCTCAATCTCAATCTCTGGTAGTGCAGTACCTAATAAAATAATATACCTACCTATTTATCTATCTCAACACACCCAAAAATAAAAACCATGGCCTCTGCTGCACCCTCGGGATCATCACCGGCCGCGGCAGCAACAGCAGCAGCGCCAACCGCAGCTTCCGTACCCGACACACTAGAAGCCGACGACGCGGAAGCGCTCCTCGACGATAGCGATTCCGCGCTCGGATCCTCGCGGGGAAGTTCCACCACGTCCCTCGCATCAAGCATCCGGCGATACCGGCACGAAAACGGGCGGACGTACCACGCGTACAAAGACGGCAAATACGCCTTTCCGAACGACGAGCTCGAGCAGGAGCGATTGGATCTGCAGCACCACCTGTGCCTTCTCATGTTTGACGGGCGGTTGTTCACGGCGCCGCTGGAGGCCGAGACGCTGGAGCGCGTCTTGGATGTCGGGTGTGGGACGGGCATCTGGACGTCGGATTTCGCGGATCGCTTTCCCCAGGCGGTCGTGCTGGGCATCGATCTCAGTCCCATTCAACCGATCTTCGTCCCGCCGAATGCGCTGTTTCAGGTCGATGATCTGGAGGAGCATTGGACTTTTGGCGAGGCCGATGCGTTTGGGTTTATCTATGCGCGCATGATGACGGGGAGTATTGGGGATTGGGATCGGTTTTTTGAGCAGGCCTGGGAGTGAGTTTTTATTTTTATTTTTATTTTTCTCTTTCTCT